TGATCCGTTACTCGTTTGAACCTTCGAAGAAGCTCAAGATCTCCGTTTCCAAACGGTACAGTACGTTTGAGATGATCTTGATTTTCATCGCAGACTGGATGCTCTTATGACAGTAGGTCGTTCCTTGACTTCCAAATGTCGCAGCTACTAAAACAATTCTTAATTTCTCAGCAACCGTTATTCGTAACAATGGAGCAGAGATATTTGTACTGGTCAACTTTTTCCAGTCTTTCTCCATGCGAAAAGAGGTCGGTTTTTTACTACCTTTTGCCTTTTTCATCACTCATTATCTGCTGCCTTCTCGTATTTCGATTAAGTCTAAATCCTGTTGTTTCAACGGCGGCTTGAACTGCCTCTGTTTGTAGTTGTAGTCGGCTACTGGAATCGCTGAACAATATAATGATGTTGTCATTGTGATCGAGGTCTGTTAGGTGTATGGCTGGGGATCTTGAGCTCCGTCTTCAACTTGACGTCATTCGTTCTCCATTAAGCCTCAACGCTTTGCCTCATAACCCGGTGGACAACAAGACCGAAGAACATTCACGAAATGACGTTGTCTTTTTTAACACTATTTCTGATTTCAAAGCAGTCGCGTAGTTCGCTTTCCGTTTTCACAAAGTGTGCAGCGTTATTCTGCATATTGTCTAACATCGTCACTTGATCAGAGAGTATGCCGTAATTCCGTAAGATCTTTCATATTTTGGAACAGTGTATTGTGTCAAAAGTATCTCTGAATACAGCGACAGTTGCATTGTGGTCTGCAGCACTGATTGCAGTCAAGCGGAGCGGTGGTATATAATCGCTGCACGAATTGTCCTTTTTTAGTCCCGCTTGATTTTTTTTGTCCACTTCATCTTTCTCTGCTGTTATGCGGAGATCTTTCCAGGTGTTTACTGCGGATTTACTCTTCGGTAATTTACGCGGGTATTATAATTCTTTCGTTACATTACAAAATGCAGGACGTACGGCCATGTTTCGATCGTTTTGATTCATTTTACGGCTTATCAAAATCCATCTCAATTTTAACCATTAAAAAATAGGATAAAAATGAACGAACCGAAAAAAACATCCGAATAATGTGGGCGCATATGCTCATGTGTGTAAAGTTTTAGGAGACGCGAAAAGCGGCAAGCGGTCAGGTGGCACCTGCAGTTTCTGCGATTCAGCCAGAACAGGTAACGTTTTAAACACTGTTGAATGAATGTTGATGTTGTTTTTACAATTCTTGGTATCCTTGTTTAGGCTGCTCGAAGCTAATTTATTTCCTGTTGCGGGTGGCCCTGCTAGTTGGTTTAGTCATCGCCTTCAGCGCAGTTTTGTTCTACGTGGGTTGCAGCGAAAAGCTGGCGTTGATCCCACAACGCAAAGCGGTTTGTGGCTATTTGTACGAGC